TAGAGTATATTGAAAGGATACTACCGACACCAGGTATAGTATACTAACTTAAAGCATGTATTAAAGTAATGTGCAGTTGATAATCATTTGAACAATCAGTAGAATTATCTTATTAATTAAAATTCTCATTGTGTCACTACTGTAGAGTCTAGACTGAAAGTGAAGCTACTGACTAGAAGGAAGTTGATAAATAAAATATTCAAATCAAAGAAATCAGAGACTCAGTATTTCCAAACCTCTCTCCTAATGAAAGCAGGTACTGACTCTACCCAGTGGTATAATATGTCTATACTACCTCATCACAGGAAGAGAGGAAGCATTAGTGGAGTATAAAAAACAGATTGAGTTACTACAAGAAAATATATCAATAACTAGTGTACAACTGCTGATGAGTGAAAAGGGAAATATTGAGAGTATGTGATATGTTAGTAATTAAATCATTAACTGATTGATATATTGTATAGAGAAGGATCAGTGTACACAATCACTGGATACACTAACAGCAAAATTTATTTACACAGCATGTATTGACTATCATGGAATACGGGGTATTGATCTTTTATTCAGTGAGGGAGAGCAGCTGGTGATATATAACAATCCTGATAAATTTTGGTGGTATGGAAGATCCTTGGTGTCTGGTGATAAGGGACGTATTCCTAGTAGTTGTGTTTACTCAATGTTGGAGTCACTTCAATTGTTAGAGTTTATACTGTCAGTGGAAGAAGTGTCCCTTCCTATTCTACAGAAGATAAGGAATGATTCATCTAGTAATGATGAGAAAGCTTCTCTTTTTTTGGAAACTATTAATGACGATCCTATTATGATATCTGCACTGAGACAAGACAAGGAACTACATGATAAAGGTATAATATTTGTGATTATTGTGACAGTCAGTATAATTATTGATGAACATGTAATCATGTAATGTCATGTGTACATGCATACTTGTGTATGTAGCATGTACAATGTACATGTAATTTTATACACTAGAAACAATGTAAAACATTCAAGGGCTCAGCCTCGTAGATTATTAGCTGCAAAAAAGCAAAACCTCTACCTTAAGTTGCTGCTAGACAACTCCTGACTTGTTTTTTACTTTAAGCCTTGCTACACTGACTTTAAAAAGCCATAAGATATAAAAAGGCTGGATTTTATACATTATATTCCTGTCCCTACATATGTACACATTACATGTGTGTATGTATGTACATATGTATTGTGTGTGTGTATTTGTTTATTGGTTGTAGTGACAACTAGCAAGTTGTGTTTGTTTGTATATACACATGATGTGAATATGTGTATTATTATGTACATACATGTATATAAGTATAATCCTTTGGTTTATATTAGGAGTCAGGGGGAGAGTGAAGTGGGACAGTGACAAGGTATACCTTTACTCTCCATCTCCAGTTCAGTGTAATGAAGTGATTAGTAATATTAATAATAATCATAAGTGGATTAGCCTCCACTCCTCATCTACTAATAGTACAGTATCTCTACTATCATCAACTAAACTGCATACACTAAACCTGAGGAGACTTGTGATACAGTACAGCCCATTAACTAATGATTGTATCCAGTACTTGTGTATTCTACTGACTAATAATAAAACAATACAAGGACTAGTCATTAGTTACCACTCCATTAGTGATAGAGGAGTTACTAATATCTGTCAAGCACTTGAACACAACTCTACACTTACCTCATTAGATCTTTATGATAATCCTCTCATCACTTCTACTAGTGGACAGGCTCTTTCTCACCTCCTCCTCAATAACTCATCACTAGTTGAACTGAATCTAAGGAAGACTTCATTGTCTACTGAGTCAATACTACTCATCCTCCAGTCACTAATGGATAATAAGAAGATAAGGACACTCATTCTAGACTATCGACACAAAGAGACTTGTATTAATACTTATCCTAACTATCACCTCATACAAGACAGAGTAGTGTATGAATATGAGTGGAATCAACAGAAAAGAGATGCAGTTGTGTCACTGACATCTCATTCACGACACTAGAACTAACAGAAATGAACTAAGAAAGGCTAATATAGCATTGCTCAATAAGTTCCAGTTACCATGTAGCAGTTTTACTGTATTTGTAGCTTGAGAATTGAAATATTTTATTGTCATGTATAAATAATAATATTATTTATAATTAATTTTTTTGGTTCCTGTAAAAACAATATTTGTTCTTGTTATTGTAGATGTTGTGTGCTGATTGTATTATCAATTAATTAATTTTATTAGAAATTAAATTTAAAAGTGAAGCCTCCACCACCGAATGGGAAACCGTGAGGGAACCTGCCGTGACCCCCGCCCCCGTACTGCTGCTCTGGATCAAGAAGATCCTCACCATTATCAAACTTTGATCTCATCTCTAAAAATATGAAAATATTATAATAACAGTAGTGATAGATATCTACTACTACATGTTCTAACTAAAACTGGTATACTTAAGGACCCCTAGGGCTGAATATGAGAGGCCAAAAGCTGAAAAATGGTACATTTCAGGAGACCTAGACCAAATATGAGAGACCAAAAGTCTCCTAAACTCCCTCTAGATCTAATAGTGATATAAGCTGGTTGTATTTCTAATCACTCTTCATGTGAACTTGTGTATCTTCACCAAAAACAAGCAACCAGTCAGAATACACTGAACATAAAACTTTTTCATTTATTTATTTTTTGATACATTATCATAATCTCATTCTAATCAATATTATGGAATCGGTTAGCCGTCCAGCAGACATTATTCTCCCCTTCACTCAGTCTATTGCTGCCATGGTACAAGGAACACTTTGGAGGACTGGACAGTCCCAAAGCTCAGTCTAAAAACCATCCAAGCTCTTGAGTATGGTTACCATCTTGGCATACCTCTTGCTTTGCTGTATGAGAGGCCAGCATCAGATAAAACAAAATGTCTAAATATTATAAATAAATAAACAAATTTACATGCATTTTCGTTTACCTTTTCTTAAAATTTTCCACCAAAATCTTTTTTCTCACTAAAGCCCGTTTGACAAG